GCAGCGCGTGCGCTACTGGTCGCCGTCAGAAACCGGGGCGAACTGCGAAACCGATACACACGACCATTCATCCAGTTAGTCAGTCAGTCAGTTCATGCCGTCGTCGTCCTCGCGGCACTCCTCTGGCGTTTGCTGCAAAATGACGGTCGATGAAGTCCGACCCGACCCATCTTCGCCTCCTTAGAAGTGACCGGCTGATGACCTTCGAGTGACCTTCGTTAGAAGGCGTTGCACAAAGTCACTTCACTTGACCACCAACGTTACTGTTGCCGCACGTCACCGCCACCACCACAGGCGACGTGTTCATATGCGAGCACATCTGGATGACGCATTGACCCGACCCCCGCACGACTGTATGGCCACAGCCAGTCCCAGTGCGACCGTAGCTCATGCAGTGCGCAACCTCGTGAACGCCATCCACTGCCAACCGATGACCACCCCTGTTGACCACCGAATATCCAACCTTTCCGTAATGGGCAGCGAACCAGGCGACGATCCATTTCAGACGTCTCTGTCGAACAGTAAGGCTCGCCATTGTTGTTGGCTGAATTTTTCACTTCTTCTAGGCGGACCATCCGACTGCTCTTACAATGAGCAGCATACGGTGAAGCCGTTAGGCACAGGAGTATGCCCACTGCCAACCATGGTCGAATGCAACCACCAAAGCGGCTGCTACTCTGACGGAGTATGGAACCCGACCACGGTTCAGAGTCGGCCGCTGACCCCAGACCGCAGACCGAGCGATGAGTATCGGTCAACCGCCGAGTTAAGCACTGGCAAAGTGCCTTCGAAGACGTCCAACAAAAGGACGATTAGAATATCTAAGAGTAAGTGTTCCAAAGCTTTTTTAGTCAACCATAAGGGCATTGTTTCTTTCCGCTGGTGGTCGACTTCCCGTTTGTTCCGGTTGTGACGTCGTAATACACATCGCTCCATTTTGTCGAGACTGAACTGTAATGCCCCGTCACTCTTGGCGTAAAAACTTTCTGGTAACATTAGTGGCTTTAAGCGATATTCAGTTCGGCACTGACGTGTCGTAGATGCACGTGTGATTGGTTGCCTGCAAATCACTATTTTTCGCTTTCTTTTGGAAGTTGCTTGTTATTCATCCCAGATCATTGCACGCCCAAATATATTGCACGCAATCCTTCTTCCGACAGGTTAACTGTATTTCTTTGCAGGTTATTTCTGTAGGTTCGATGAGACAGATGAATTGTTGAGCGGAGCGGACAAATGGCAAAGAGGTCAGCTGTGAACCCCGGAAGTGCCAGTTTGAGTCCCAAGAAAAGGAGAAATTTTCCTTAGCCACTACATCGCTTGAGCAAAGAATTTGCCCCAGCTGAGAAACGGATAGCGACTCATTGATTTGTAAACAACAGCGACAGTGTAATGTTTTGGTATGATCCTACCGTCATGAACAAGACGCAAGCGCGTTTTGCGGCTGCACTTTCGCTTTACCTCAGTCCACCTCCCTCCTGACATATGGCTGTTCAGTGTAATAATCGGTACAAGGTTACACCCTCCCCAAGAAGTCAGAAAGATGGCAACGCCACGGAAATAATTATGGAATAAAGTTAATAACATCTAGAGAAAACTGAAACCTCGCTAAAGCCGAAAGAAGGGCAATTGATATGAGTCATCAATAAGTAGAATTGATTTTTCAGCTTGAAAAGTCATTAACAGTCGTTGTGGACAGCAGATGCTTCAGCTTTTTCTTAAAAGGTACTGATCATAGAGTCAAGTTCTTCCGACTGATAGTAGGTCTTACCTCTTCATAGTCAGAATGGCTTTAGTGACATTTAGCATGTCAGCTGCATTTTACTACTAGCTTTGTTGTTTTAACTTTGTTTACTACTGATACTATCAGCTGCCAACAGCTGTTACTCCCTGTAACGAGCATACCTCACTTGTCTTACAGGCTGTATAATATATTATTGCTCAAGTAATGCTGAATGTATAAAATAGAAGATGCGATTTAAAACATAATGCAAAAAAATATATGAATTTCATTTAGAGGCTCACTGAGCAGTTTCAGACGGTTGTTCTTTTGTAAATGTTCTACATTAGAAATCTTATGCATGATACGGCTGTTGACTAGATTTAGTCTACAAAGTGTCAAAAATATTGGTTCATCGAAGGAGTGTATAACTTGTCGAGCTATAACACAGTCACACCATGACGGTTTCAGCGCTGCCTGACCACGACTGCTTATTTGTTCGCAGCTATCATCCATATCTGAAGGCCGTTTCCGTATTCGCAAACCGAAGATACTGCAAATGGCTAGGAGGTAAAGACAGTCATGATAATAAAATATGATACATATTTTCAATTAGGCGAATAATCTCTATACGTTACGGTTACAAAATCGAAAGGAAGGCAACATTTCTTATAATCCATTTAAGCCGAGGATGACGTTTATCAAAGATTGTAGGATGCAGGAAGCAAAACACGGCTTTTCATCCCCAAATGGCCGCATATTTTGTCATGTTCGAAGTCCGCTAGTTTTTTCGGATCGCGCAGGCAACTGTTTCGATAATTCCTTTTAATGTTTTGTACTCCTTGTGTACTATCAAAGAGACAAACTGTGGATTCTAAGGCACAATAATGGCAATCTTCTATGTCACCAGATCGTTGACCGCTTCACTTCATTTTGGACCAGTCAATCAACCCATTTTGATCATGCTTATGAGTGAACAATTTATGCAGCTCATACCGATACCTTATCGTAGAAGCCGTGATACATTTTGACAGTACGAGAAACATTCTTTCAGAGGACTTATCACCTTCATGTTTATGGTGCAAAAAATCATTCTCTGGGAACGATGAATTTTATGATCAAACATAAGAAGTCATCGTATACATGCAAGTATAAGAGAAACTTGTCTATTATGTAAAAAAGCATTTCTGATAAAATGCGATTTTGATTACGTCACGCAAGTAGCAAGATGGTAACTTTAAATTAATAAACGAATATCCGCCTTCTATCGGGTCATTTTAACACGATTTTGGATCCACAGCTCTGAAAAGACATTTTATGGTGCTTGGGTTGCTCTCCACATGGATTCAGTTCACATCATCGTCATTCTGGGTATCATTATTTTGAATTATGTTCTCCCCTCATTTATTCGTGACGGGAAAATCACCATACCAGTTGGCTTATCATAATTACTGAAGACACAGTTAACTGTTGAACATTGAGCAACTACTAAATGCCAAACAACCATAAATTTGAAATGTAAATGTTAGTAAATGCTCATAAACACCAATAACAGCAATAAAACAATAGATGGCATCCGCCCACGGATACGATGCAGTTTTCTTAACGTTGCATACTCCAATGACCATATTCATTTCCGTGCTACTCAATATATCACCTGTCCAGACTTTGCCTTATAGGTCCTAAAGGACTATTCTTTGTTGTAATCGAAAATGATTGATCGCCGCATCTCAAAGAATAAACGATGCGATGAACTTTTAATAATAAACAATAATGAATAAAAAAAATTGTAATGAACAGATTCCTTATACAATGACAACGGACCGAAACGTTGCTAGAAGAACGGAGTGTCGCTGTACCAGGGAACTGGATTAAAAGAGAGTAAACGACACTTAAGAAAACTTAGATCGGTTTCAGGGTAAGTTCAGGAACTTAATTGGAGTTGGATAATAATCGCAGAAAACAATCAATCCCTGACAGCTGCCTCAAAAATTGATATAATTCCTTGAATCCGTTGTGCTGGGTGAAAGCTGGGAAAAATTTGGGCAATAATTCATTAAACTTGGCACCTTGAATGAACTGCCTAGCAGCTACTGGAGCAGCATTAAACAAAACTCACAAGAATAGGGAAAATGGCAGAAGCGTTTACTTGCGTTGGTAGCGCGCCCACTAAGAGGACAAGTGGGATGAGAGATGAAAATTCTATTCTGCAATGTTTGTGTAAACCACTTCTAGTTTGCTTACACAAAATCTCTTGTCGAAATTTAATAGAAAACATAAAAAACTAAAAATTGGAGTGACTGTTTGCCAATTAACACAAAATCAGTTGACGGTAGCAAAAGCTTATCTTAACTGCACTGTGCAGAGGGACTCCCGAAATTCAAAACACTATATCCAGCTGAAATTATCCTGTCCAATAAAGGTTTTTAACCTGAGTTTGTGCCCTTTGGTGTTTCGCTGACATTAGCATATGAGTCAGGATAAATTTCAAAAAGTGGTTCATCAAAGAACTGAATATCTGCGGATAACCTGGTAGTGGTATTTTTCTGGAAATGACAGGCTTCCGCGGCTGGAATCTCATCTCATCACCGAAGGCACCATTGTGGTTGAAAGCGCTGTTTGCAAGCTAGTTTTTCTAAATTAACACTTTCATAATCGGCTGGATTTTTCAATAAAAGCATAGATTTTTATTACTATTGAATGTCATCTTGCATACTGAATTATTAATGGTCTATGTTAATTTCTTTCAGATGATACGCATAGTTGATCATCCCACGTTCTGCCAGTGAATAATTCGGCTATTCACGCTGTTAGTTAAAATATCA